CGCGCTCCCTTGGGACCACCTCGGCCGTCAGGCGGATCAGGAGGAAAAATAAATACCGTTGCCCGGACGTGGGGCCTGTGACGTAGCCAGCTGCCCTCTCTCTTTTGCAGGCTTGATCCTCCTGTTCTACTTGGTCTTCTACACGTGCCTGGCGGGGATGTTTGCCTTTTGCATGACGATGAAAGGAAAGCTGAGGTGAGACTGTGCAGGCTAGAGGACGAGCCTGGTCTTATTTCTGACCGTTCTTTGCAAACGGAGAAAGAGTTAAGGCAAGTTTTTAAAGGGTAAAATTTGTTTTGGGGGGGGAAAAAAAGAAAAACAGCCAAAAAGACATAAGGTAGGATTACTCTAGGATTACTCTAGGATATCTGCGAGGCAGATCTCAGCTGCTGTAAATCCAGGCCCTGGGCCCGCGCAGGTCGCTGCTGCCTGGAGGTCTGTCCCTGTCTGCTCTGCTGGCCGCTCTCAAAGCCTGGCTCAGCAAAGCGCGGCCTGCACAGCATCGCCAGGGCCTTGGGCAAAAGCCCTCTGTAGCTATACGCGCACACAGTCAACCAGCGATCACTAACCGTGGGTATTGTCGCTGTACATTGGTACAATTACAGGGCTACAGGTCTTCAGCGGAAAGGTCCTCTCGAGAAGATCAGGCATTTTAAATAGGCCAGCATGAAGCCTTCATTCTAATTATTATTCTCATTATTCGTTCTAAGTATCCTCAGTGTAAACGGACAAGTTTAGGCTTTTCACAGGTTGTGGGCATTCATTTCAACTGCTGCCCCTTCATACCTTATATCTTCCAAGTAAAATGCAAAAGCAGAGTAGCTTCATCTATGACTCTTTAGGGGAGTGGAGGTGAGATAATATTCAAAAACTCCTTTCGTAGCCACAAAAGCAGCGTTTTCCTGGTGTTTTGCCTCTCTCCCCGTGGTCTGTGGAGGCCAGGGAGGCCCCCTCAGCTCCCGGCTCCCGCCACGCTGCTCTGCCCCGTGACCAGCCCCATCAAAACCCCCCCGAGCCCCCGGCCGGCCAGCCCACCCACACCCAGTCTGTCTTGTTTTCCAGGAGTGATGATTAGACCGTACCTGCACGGGTTCACCATTGCCTTCAACGTGTCTGAGCGCAGCACGTGGCAGCCGTACGTGGACAGCATGCACCGCTTCCTGGAAGGTGAGCCGGGCGCTGAGGGGGGGGATGCCCACCCTCC